TCATCAAGAAATCGAGAAAAACAATGAAAAATCGATTTTAACATGGAAAATTAGCGCCGAATTTAGCGCCGATCAGCGCAAGATCAGCGCGGATCAGCGCGGATCAACGCGGATCAGCGCGGATCAGCGCGGATCAGCGCGGATCAGCGCGGATCAGCGCGGATCAACGCGGCCCAGCGCGGATCAACGCGGCCCAGCGCGGCCCAGCGCGGATCAGCGCGGATCAGCGCAGATCAGCGCGGCGCCGCCAGCGTGGATCAGCGCGGATCAGCGCGGCGCAGCGCGCGGATCAGCGCGAATCAGGGCGGATCAGCGCGGATCAGCGCGGATCAGCGCGGATCAGCGCGGCCCAGTGCGGATCAGCGCGGATCAGCGCGGATCAGCGCGGATCAGCGCGGCCCAGCGCGGCCCAGCGCTGATCCGCGCGGATCAGCGCAGGACCAGCGCGGACCAGCACGGACCAGCGTGGACCAGCGCGGAACAGCGCGGATCAGCGGGCACTGAGCGGATCAGGGCCGATCAGCGCGGATCAGCGCAAATCAGCGCGGATCAGCGAGTACTAAGCGCGGATCAGCGCCGATCAGCGCGGATCAGCGCCGATCAGCGCGGATCAACACCCATCAGCGGGCATTAGTTCGGAGATCTTCCATAGAAGCCGAGGGCAAGTGAGATGTGAACATGGAATAGCACCAAGCATGGTCACTGTCATTGTGTTTTTTATTTTTGTCAAGGAACAAAGTTTTTCCTTGACGCCCATGGGTGCTACATCTCATGCGCCGTCGGCTTGATGTCTTGCTGCTCTTTTCTGCCACCCGTCCTGCACCTCAAAATACCTCAAATCAATAGCTTTGATGCCCTCCTAATACCCTCTTCAGCCACCTGTCAGGCACCAAAAATCAATAGTTTTCATCCCCCCTCATCCCTCTCAGCCGCCCCTCGTGCACCACTAATAGCACTGATGCCTTGCCATCTTTTTCCACCACCCTTCCTGCACCACAAATCAATAGCCTTAATGTCCTGCCACCCTGTTCCGCCACCCTTCCTGCACCACAAATCAGTAGCCTTAATGTCCTGCCACCCTGTTCCGCCACCCTTCCTGCACCACAAATCAGTAGCCTTAATGTCCTGCCACCCTGTTCCGCCACCCTTCCTGCACCACAAATCAGTAGCCTTAATGTCCTGCCACCCTGTTCCGTCACCCTTCCTGCACCACAAATCATAGGTTTTGGTATCGGTTTGCTCTTCCAGATGTTTAGCAGGCAGTGGGTCTCTCAACTTAGAGATAACATCAGCTGTTCAGGTTACTGGTGACAACGCTTAAACATTTGCAGAAACTTGGCTAACCGAATGTTCATGAATGCATTTTGTAACAAACCCGTTTACATTCTGGAGTTAATGACAAGAAAAAACTTTCCAAGTGCTATTCGATCGATCATTGCTTCCATATGACCAACCCGTGAAATAATTACATAATCCCATGTCGCATCAATCGTTGTTTTTGAAACAGAGCTGACCCCATTCCAGACCGTTGACTAAGATAGAGATGATGATAATAACAATCATATTATCCAATGAAATGCATCAATCGAAGTATCCCCAAAGTTTTTCATACGTCCCCTAACATTTGGATACACCATGTTCTGCGGCAACGTCTCTTTGTTTTGCACAAAGCGGAAAAATCTGCTGGGCAAGGCTACCTGCGGTCAGAAAAGACACACAAGCAACCCGACGAAACCAACGTTGAACAGCACCTGCTGCTGGCAAGATTTACAGAGGTCAGAAAAGACACACTAGAAACCCAGAGACTTGGCGACCAAATCAAACGCGAGCTCGTTCCATGGTGTAAATCTGTGGGGCAGCCATGGCCACGGGTGGAGGACAGAAAAGTCACACCACCAAGAACTACTGTTGCCAGGACAAACACGCTAAATAGAATGTGTATGATGATGCATCTCTGCTGCATTAGGCCGATATCAATAACCCGACAGTGTAATTCTACCATGAACTGCAACCACCTCAGCATTCCTCTGCAAATTGCGACTGTTGGAACAATGAACCGGATCAGGTTTGAAGATCTAAAAAAGGTGTAATCACTGTTGAATTGATATGATAACATTCGGGTGAATCAGGCATGAGCTGGGAGCATTTCAAACATCGCGCAATAGAATATGTTACATGTCCGTGCGTTCACATGTCCCAAGATGGCTGGTTGTTGTCAGAACAAAAAAGTAGAGTATGGATACATGTCATTGCATCAACCCAAACAATATAGAATGGTTTTTGTTTGTTCATGTCCTCTTTTTTCATCACGCGGTTCACCCTTTTTACTTATCAACTGAGTCATATAGAACAGAAGAACACTTGTGAACTTGCCTGTGGCGAATGAATGTTGAGCATACTTAGTTCTGATTTAATCTCATATGGTGAAAATATGTTGTTTTGTGCACATTCAGTTCAAAACAATATGGAAGCAGAAGTCGTCTTAGCCACCTTTAAGATCTACACATGATTCCCAAAAACGTAAATACATAAATAGACTCCGCAAGGTAAGTAATGTTGAAGCACATGAAAGTACTGGGAACGTTGACTCTTGATGCACGATCACATCTGACCCAATGAAACAGGGAAAAGTATGCGACAACAAACATGATGTAATTAAAGTTGCAGAACGTGAAAATACTGCAAACATGAAATACATGACACAGATCGGGTCCCATTCGGAAACATTGAGTAAGATAGATATGATGGTATAACAACTTGGTACCCCCCGAATGTACTATGCATCTTGTAGCATTCCGAAAACCAATTCCGTAAAGTGTTGGATCCAACCCTGTCCCATTGCGGCGACTCTTTGTTTTTGCCAACGTTGCGAGAACGTCGAAATGCAAATTCTGGCGGATGCACAGTTTCCTGCGGTCAGAAAAAACACACAGAGAAACCAACCAAAGCATCCCAGCTTTTTGCTTGCCGACGAGAAACAGAAGGGCTCAGGCAGGCTGGACAGGTCAGAAAAAACACAGTCCAACTTGCGGCTTCGCAAGCAATCCACGAGCTAGAACGGCCAGAAAACAACAATCACAATCCTACAATACAAACGTAAAAACCACGGTCATCAAATTACTAGACTGTACAAACCATGGAAGGGAATGTGCAATGAATTACGAATGCTGATGCACCGCATCGTTCCGGCAGACACGAAAATCTCAGTGGCGTGCAACGAATTACGGATGCTAATGCGCCATCGGACCGTCGCAAGAAACGAACAATCGCGTGCTAACATTTCCGGATGCTGATGCCTCATCATGCGATGGCTTAGAAAAGACCAACACGGTGGCGTGCAACGAATTATGGATGCTTCTGCAACACAATGCCGTCAAAAAAGGATTCCGTCACTACCCAAAAGATCAGGTTAGGCAATTTCCTGCCTAATAGTTAATTCCTTATTTCCTACCTAATTAGGTAATTTTTAAGGTAAAAATGTAACATAATGTAACCTAATTTTAAGGTAATTCGGCACGTGGGGTTGAAAGTTTGCGTGCAAACTTGCGAGACGGGGCTGAAAGTTTGCATGCAAACTTGCGACACGAGGTTGAAAGTTTGGATGCAAACTTGCGAGGGGAGGTTGAAAGTTTGCGCGCAAACTTGCGAGGGGGGGTTGAAAGTTTGCGCGAAAACTTGCGAGGCGGGGTTGAAAGTTTGAAAGCAAATTTGCGCCCTTTGACACACACGCAAGCATTTGAATGCAAATGGTGGTGCAAGTTTACACTCAAACTTGCGAGGGGGGGTTGAAAGTTTGCCTGCAAACTTGCGAGGGGAGGTTGAAAGTTTGCATGCAAACTTGCGAGGCGGGGTTGAAAGTTTGCGTGCAAACTTTCGTTGAAAGTTAGGTAAAAAATTAGGTAAGGCAAGAAAATTTGACTAATTTAGGTAAGGAACAAATAAACTAATAGTTCATTTTTTGACTAAGATAAGGAATTACCTTTTCGGCAGAAAATTGCCTAACCTGATCTATTGGGTATAGTGGAATCCCTCCCCGCTGCATCATGGTGAGAACATCTAAGAGAAACAAGCAGCCATCGGATGTAACAGCGGCAGCATAATGGTGTCAAGTGCTTCAAATTATAGAGTGCAGCCCCTCCCCGCTGCACCCGGTGACGCCCTCCACTCCACGACTTTCCAGCTTGGCGCCTCCCAACAAAACATGTCCGTGCTTGCGTTGTCAAAATAGACCCAAGACCATAAGATCCAAAGCCACAAGCGACCATCGGATGCAATGGCGGCAGCAAAATAATATCAAATGCTTCAACTTCTAGAGTGCAGCCCCTCCCCGCTGCACCCGGTGACGCCCTCCACTCCACGACTTTGCAGCCTGGCGCCTCCCCACAAAATGCAATAACCAGTCCAGCATTTCCAGTGATTCCTTGACTTGCGATTCCATACTTCCGCGGTCAGCAAAAAACACAGCATGAAGATCTAATAGACAGACAAAATTCTTTTTTTTTACGACTGACTAATTACGGTTATTTTTTCTGACGGAACTTCCCGGGAAAAGCTTTGAAATGCCCGGGCAGATTCATCATGAGTGCTGATGTGCCATCGCGCGGTCAGAAAAGACACACACGCTGGCCTGCAACGAATGCCAAGTGCTGATGCGCCATCGTGCGGTCAGAAAAGACACACACGCTGGCCTGCAACGAATGCCAAGTGCTGATGTGCCATCGTGCGGTCAGAAAAGACACACACGCTGGCCTACAACGAATGCCATGTGCTGATGCGCCATCGTGCGGTCAGAAAAGACACACACGCTGGCCTGCAACGAATGCCACATGCTGATGCGCCATTGTGCGGTCAGAAAAGACACACACGCTGGCCTGCAACGAATGCCAATTGCTGCTGTGCCATCGAATGCTAAAAAAACATGCATCTTCGAGGTATCTCACCATCCAATATTAGCATACCTCTCATCCTCGTCTACCTCATCCAACATCATTTGAATTTCTTCATGCAGGTGTTTTTCCAAATGTCGGATCACAGTACGGATCACGGGCTTCCTCGGCGAGAAATTCTGCATAAATAGCAGCCTCCTCTTTGTCTCGACGACTTTGCTCCATCTGTTCCGGAGTCAACATGTCTTCATACATTGGATCATCTTCTTCCGGTGGAGCTGCTGCACTGCTATCAGGTACCACATTGGCACCGCGCATGGTGCGTCTCTTGTTCCATCCACCACCCAATTTGCTTGCTGGCATTCTCTGGGGTTTCTCTGTGTACCCTGGCGCAGGCAGTACGCCGCGAACCGAAAGCATCTGCATCAAATCAATTTTGTTTTCAGACGACATGGAAGACCCTGTTGTCGTCTCCGACCAAAGGACATGACGATCGAACTCATCCTGAAGTGATGCTTTTCCAAAAAAATGCCGGTTGCTGGTGGCATCGTGCTTGGCGTCTACCTGCATTTCCAAAGTGGACCGCCAGTGAAACAAAGGTGTGTCGGCGACTGCTCTAAACACCCAATAATCTGGCACGTGACGAAAAGCTATGTACAAGAAATCTGTAACACGGGACAAACCTACAAAAGCCAATCCGCATATGCATCGGAAAGGTTGCCAGGTGGGTTCGTGTTCCATGTCAAAGACACAACCTTCTTTCAAAGTGAGACCTTGACTTTTGTGCACTGTCATTCCGTAACTGAGGACGACCGGGAACTGCGTCCGGGACAATGCTGGCATCCGCTCATGGCGAATCTGCTGTGGACCGATGCAAACGTAGGTTGGGTGTCCTTCAACCATACAAGGCCCCACATAGCCGGGGAAATCAATGACTAGATACTTCAGCGATGTTGCCTGGACGCCGCCCACTTCTGCGGCATTGCGCTTTTGCTGCTGCTTCGGCCGACTAGCTGCTGCAGCGGAGGGACCGTCAGAGAAGCCAAATCCTTGGTCCGCTGCTTGATCCTCCTCCTCCCAAACCACAACAACAATGCGACCGCGCAGGCCGTTCACCAAATTCCAAACAGTCCTGAGATTGGATATCAACATGACAGGGGCTCCCATGGTGAAGTGCAAGACACGCCTCAAACCACCAAAGGAATCGCAAGAGTCACGTTCCACCAAAGGATTTGATTCCACCGACCAGACACGTAGGATGCCCGAACCTCCTGCAGCTGTAGCATCCTCCCCCAAGCGACGACCATTGAATGCACCGGCCCTTTGCTTTTCACAAAATAAATGCACTCGATCGCGTTGAAAAGAACGGATTTCTTCCGTTGACAGAGTGCAATCAGGACTTGTCATGTCGTGACTTTTCCACAAAGCAACATCTTCCTTCGTGTGGGCAGCATCTCTCAGTCGCAACAATGATTCCTTGTACTGGGAGGCTCCAGCTTGGCGGTGAATACGCCGCAAACGAAACACGTTGCTGATGTTGCGAAACAGACGGGCTCCGAGATTGACTTCCATGATGTCCTTCCCTGTGGATTGGACAGTTCCATGGAGCAGCGTCCTCTCATCCTTCACAGCCACTGGCGGCAACTGGCCAAAATCGCCAGCAAAAAACACTTTGACGCCACCAAAAGGCAGTCGTGCGCCACAACGACAAGGAGATGACCGATCACAACAGTGGGGGTGATAGCAAGCAAAGCGCCACTGCTGCAACCGCAGATGAATGTGAGCCAACACCACCTTCTCGATCATCGACAGCTCATCAAACTCAAGCACTGCCATGTCACCCAGTTCGGTCGCCATGCTTTGCATGTCCTCTTCGGACAACGGCTGCAATGGCCCTGCACCGCGACTCGTCTTCAGACGAAATAGCGATACAATTGTTTGGGCGCCGCTACCCATATTGCTCGCAGCTACACCCGTGTAGGCAGCACGGACAATACGACCCTTCAAGCCATGAACTTCTAACTGCCGATTTGCTGCTTGCATCGTGGTTGTTTTTCCTGTGCCTGCTGTCCCCAAAAGCAGCACGGGGCCGCACAGTTGCCATGGGCCGTCTTTGTCTGACGGCAACGGCAAGTTGCTCTGGCAGATGTCTGCACTATTTACATATGCATCGCGCCATGCAGACATGTGATCTACAAATGACTGTTGGGTGGGATCCATCCGGGGTCCACTCGCTGCGTCTGCGGCTGCAGACCCACCTGTTGAGTTAGGCGCTGACACCAGTGCGCTGGCTTCTTCATGGGACAAACCTCCCTGCGTGCTCCGCAGCGTCCTCACATGTGTGCCGGGCAACACAGACTTTGCTAACTCGGCCGGACAGGCATTTTTATTTAAATTAGACACATATGGATGAAGTGCATCTCATTCACTACGGGTTTCTTTATCTATACAAAAGAGCATCTGTATCCAAGGGAACAAGTGTTTCAAACAAAAGGTTATAACCTGGTCTGCCCATGCTTTGTTCTTGCGTTGCACCAGCAACGTAGCGAGCCCGCTTTGCCAGCCTTTCTCGTGGGTCTTCTAGATCCTCCTCCTCCTGTCGCCACGGATGCGGGCAGTAAACCGCATTCCGCCACTGTCCATCCTTCACGGGTGATGTCAGGTCATCTCCAGGACAAAGTGCCACACGTGCTCGCGTGCCGTGTCCAATTGACAACCCACACTCACGCAACGTTCTGTCCTTGATCTCTTCCCACAGATCCGGATACGTTTTCATCTTTATATTTTTTTTGCTCCTTTTGCGTTGGCTTTTGAGGCCCTAGATACTCAAAGTGCACCGCGCACAGTTGCTGTAGCGCGGCCTTCGGCAACCCTTCTTTGGCAAGCCCACATCCTCGCTTGCTGTAAGGCATTAAATCAAAAGCAAGCATGTGAAAGACAAACTTTTGCATCATGTCGGTGGCCGACCCTACTTTTTAAGGCTTTTCTCCTAAAATTGCTTCCAAATATTTTTCCATTTGCAAACGCTTCGGCGGGGGCTTTTTTCCTAGACAAGCTTCTTGCACAGAATGCCTTATTTCACCTTGGCCGGGTTGCCAAGGAAAACCATGCTGCTCCGCGACCTGTTGTTCGGTTGCCCACTGTATCTTCTTTTTTTGGTTCTTGCTTACTACTTTTGGTACTTCCTTTGGGTTCTTTAGAACTGCTACCTGCATCTGCGTTATCCGGGACCGCAGCGGACATGTTTTTGCCCGGCCCGACAACACCATCAGACACTGCCGATGATTCAACCACACCAGGCGCGACGGGCAGAAAAGCCACATCAGCGCCAGTGTCTGCTGCATGGCTTCCAGCTGAGGGTACAACACCAGACGCGACGGGCAGAAAAGCCACATCAGCGCCGGTGCTTGCTGCTTGGCTTGCAGCTGGGGGTGCGTCGGGAAAGACGGGCAGAAAAGCCACATCGTCCGTGCGACGGCCTTTGGCTTTCTCCACCTTGTTCTGGCGACGAAAGCGTTGTTTCAACCAAAGGGGACATACAGCAGATTCAACAAAAGTGTGAAACTGTTCAATGGCATCTTTGTCTGACAACAAACCAGGATCATCTGTCACTGCTACAAAAGGCCGGTGCAAACGCAAAGCGTAGCGAGCCATATCCCCGGCATTGGGTCTCCTACTGTCTAAATTTAAATACGGATTTTCTTTGACGATGGCATGCTTCTTGCGCAGACTCAACTTCTTGCCTCTGCGATCTACTCGGCCTACAAACTGTGCCAAAGACATCTGCTGCAGCACTGTTTCCGGCGTCAGATTGGTGCCAAAATTCGCATCCTGCAAACGTTGGGTGTAAATATCAAGTTTGGTCTGACGTGTCACTGTGGTGTCTTGACTCCCTGTTTGTATGGCTTGCAAATCTTTTAATACGGGTTGCTCCTTGGCATTTAGATTCACAAAAAAACGGCTGGACAACACATGGGGAAAATCGAACAAGATGTGCCAAGCCTCCAAGGAGCATATTTGATCTGGGACCGCTGTATGAATGAAAAGCTTGGACAGAAGGGATGTCACAGTCATGGTTTCATGATCTTGCATGCGACACAAAATGTCATCCAACAAGCCGCCAATGCGGCTGGTCGCCGTATCCCATATGTTTTGTTAAGTAGCTAATGGCTGCTTGAATGGTTAACACCACCTGATCATCTACGTTGGCAAACCAAGCCGATGGCTTTCAAGGGATCATGTGTGTTCACATGATGACAGTTCCTACGTGTGTAGAGACGATACAAACCTTTTCGTCTTGCATCTTCCAATATTACAGCGCTGCCGGGAGGCATGCGCGCCTTTTCGTAATCTTTACTGCAAAATGGCAAGGACTGTGTCTTGTGTGCGCAACTCTCGCTCTCGGCCGGGCGCCGAGCCACTTTAGTTCCTAAGCCAGAACGCACCACGCGCAAATATTCTGCTTGCGGCAACTGCTCCGCCACAGCTCCTGCCTGCACTAAAAAACAACTGGAGATGCAAGCATGGTCGGACAAACCCAGTCCCCAAGTACGGTCAAAACTGTTTTGGACCAAAGCTAAACTCTGCAACCGCACAGACCTCTGACTCTGACCTCCGCCACGGCGTCGCCGCTCTTCTGAGACCTTGCTTCCAGACTGCTGCTGAACGCCGGACAGAAAAGTCACAGCGGCATCCGAACACGATGCGTCTCCTACAGGATCGGTGTTGATACCGGACAGAGAAATCACAGCAGCATCAACACCGGCAGGCTCCTTAGTGACAGCTTCCTGTGGGACGTCACGGTAAAATAGCTTGGCTAAGTAAAAACACGCGATCAAAACGCCACGATGGCACCAGGGGGTGCGTCGTGTCCATCCAATCTTGACACCACGTGCCTGACAAAGTTGCATCAGCACCGTCCACCTCCCAAGCATCATCCCATTGTTCTCGGTACTGCTGCGGTATGCCTTCTTCAGCGTGCATGTTGGTATCCCCTGCAAAAATACAACCATCGACAGTTAAAGCTTCTAAGGCGCTCCAAATCACATCCATCTCGGCTGTCCTCTGCATTACCTCCTCCTTGCCTGCCGTGCAATGCGCAGTGGCCAAAGCTAAACAAGCTCAATTCTTCTTCACCTGGACTCGTACATGCAACATATGCCGTACGCCCCCTGCAGTCAACGGAACAATGCCGACGCGCAAGCGCTTCAGAGTGGCCTTGCGCAAAAGCATGCAAACATCGAAACCTTCAAGCATTGTATGACCACGCTGTGCCGGGCTGATCACATCATATTCCAAGTCCCGTCCGGCAGCAAGCACGGCCGGCAGTGCTGCCGGCGTCAATTCTTGCAAACAAAAAACATCATGCTCGGAGATCATTTCACGGACATCTGAACGCAATGGTCGCATGGCATATGCAAATTTAAACTGGCTACGGAAATCTCGGCGACATCATGGTTGATCTCGGTTCTGCTCTCTGCTTCGCCAGCTGCTTCCTCCTCTGCAGGAACTTCCACGTAAACTGGCGGCACTTCGACACCTACCCCACTGTGTCGATCATGCATGTTGCATTTCTCGGCAAGCTTGCGGTACCATTTGCGTCGCATGCGCCTGACAAGCTGGCAGTTATTGGTCATCATGAGTGCTTTCTGGTCTGTTCCTACCTGACACGGATGCCAATCTTTTTGCACCACCAAAGCATCCAAATCTTTCAATAACTTTTTCTCCTCTGCTGTCAGCGCCCGAACCTTCCGACGTCCAGCTGCATCCTCGACATATGCCATGCTTGTAGGTGTTGGAAACACCCGCACAAAATCTACATCTGAAGCTAACCCATGCTGACAAAACACATCTGCTTCCAAGCCAACTTGCAACTGCTCTTGCTTCTTGCTCTCCGCTGCGCTCGCGGTCAGAAAAGACACACGCGCGCTTGTTTTTGGGCTCCAAATCTTGTGTCTTTGCACTGTTATGGCACTCCAAATCTTCCGATCCGTCTGATTCTGCATCTGAATGTAGTGGGGAGCCACCGCTTGTCCGGCGTGCTGCTGCATTCTCAATGTCTTGTTCTGACCACTTTTCTGCTTTGCTCAGACTCCAGTCTGTCACGTACTCTTCATGCACTTGCGCAAAGTCTTGGGCAGTGCGAATGCTCTGCGGGCACGGCAGTCGCCATTCATCTTGAGCGGGATCAACTCGCGGCATCTGTGCGCCAAAATTGATCGAGTGCAGATGCATGATACCGCCTGCACCCCACTCAAAGACTCCTTCTCCGTCTTCGTATTTCAAGACATGCTTGTAAAACAATTCCATTTTGTAGCCTGTAAACCATGCTACAACGCCGGGATACTTCAAGACACGGCGTCTCTCTGCTGACAACTTGCGTTCGGCCGGTTCAAGTGGATCTGACCGACCTTGTCGCCGCTGTGTTACTGCAACCTCATACTTTTCCAAAATTTTGGCCAAGTCTTGCCAGTGGTAAATGGCAGTAGTTAAAGTTGTAAAGTGGCGAGGAATTTCGCCACCTGCTTGTAGGCGCTCTACGGCTTGTTGCAATTTCTGGACCAATCCTTTCACTTTGGCTTGTCGCTCACCACTGGATTGCACATCTTCGTTCATCGCAACTTCCAAAAGTGGTCCGACCATGGTGTGCTTTGTACATTTTCACTTCGAAATGTGCTTCGCGCCACAATGGCGCGCAATTTTTCATCTCTCATCTGGCCAGCTGGCTCCGCACCCGCCGCTTTAGCGAGCCTACTTTTCGACCATCCGGAGCCGCAAATCATTGGAAAAACACAGTGTTTCGCGACTTTCCTACCTTTTCGCGCATCTGCATCTTCTGTCTTCTTACTCTTTCTCTTCTACTCTTCTTTCTTCTAATCTTTCTCTTCTCTCTGCCTCTTCCCTGCTCTGCTTTTCATCTCTCCATATTGTCGGAAGTTTGACTTCTAAACTTCCTTCGAAAAGGCATCAGATGACACGTGTCTTGTCACAGAGAGAAAGAGGGGAGAGAGAGAGAGAGAGGGAATGGAAGGGGGGGAGGGGGAGTAGAAAGAAAACATGGAGAAATATAATGTGAGCAACAAAAATGCACAGGAGGCTCGGTACCATGAGTCTGCGAATGACATGTGTTATCTCATTTTACTATGGTAATTCCCACAAACATTGCGGAAAAAGCTCGGCACCATCATTCCGTGGACGTGAAGAAACGCGACGCTTTTATACAGAGACGCTTTTATACAGAGACGCTTTTACACACAGACGTTTTTACAGGCAGTTTTTTTTACACACAAACACTTTCACACAGAGATGCTTTTACACGCACAAAAACTTTTACACACGGACACTTTAACACACAGACCCTTTTATACACATATTGTTGTTTTACACACAGACGCTTTTACACATAAAGGCCTTTACACACAGAAGCTTTTACACACACAGACACTTTTACAGACCGACATTTTTACACACAGACCCTTTTACACACAGGCACATTTACACGCAGAAGCTTTTACACCAAGACGCTTTTCCACACAGAAGCTTTTACTCACAGACTCTTGTACACACAGACGCTCTTATGGACAAAACCCGTTACACACAGGCGCTTTTACAGGCCGACGCTTTTAGAACACATACCAACACGAAATGATGCTTTGAAATCGCAGTGAAACGTCGTGGCTCAGAAGTGCCAACCTTAGTGCGCAGCACAGCGCTGAACACATTCCACATCATTCCACTAATTTGATTTACTTCAAAACCAAAAACATCCATCAAAAACCCAGGCCGGTACCAAACTGGCGCAAGAGTCACCTCAGGAAATTGCAGATTGCACGATCATGCATATAGTTGTTCACTCGTACCAAGATGAGATCGTCCGTCATCGAGTTCGATCACACAAACACATGTAGATGAACACTTTCCATTTTTTGAACTGCTGGTCGCACTAATGAGTTCACATGTTTGTCACGAACAGTCTTCACAGACAAACAACAGTTGGCTACTGATTTTGCACGTTCGCCACGAACAGTTTCTCCAGACGAACAGTGGTGCAAATTAATTTGTGCCCGCCGCATTCAGTTCCATGTGCACTCGGCACGCAAACCTTCCAGCTTCCACAAAGCCTCCAAGACATAGGGGCGATTGTGCCAAGGGCGCAAGGAAGGTCTTTTCTCAAGCAGCAACTGGACAGCATCCTCTGCAGAGTAGTTGTAACCCACGACGAGCCAAGCACATAAAGCCCCAGCGTCGGTTGATGCCTCCAAAGCAATGGAAGAGCACGTGCATGGATTCGCCCCTGGTCACTGCCAGCATGGACTGTTTCCAGAGTTGGCCACAAACAATTTTCCACTGTTCCAAACAAGAAGCTACCAAGTCAGGGATTCGTTCCTCCCAACGGTGCGGCGGCTTCAATGTCGTGTCCTCCAAGTGACACTTGATGTGAAAGACTTTTTCTTGCTGGAAATACCGCGCCCAATCCTTCGGGGCGCCTCGAATCTCCATTTCATCTGCGCACATGGTCACCCCGGTCCATCAGTGGATTCGCTCTGCCATCCCTGATTCACAACAACCAATCTCTCCTATAGGTTTCCTATTTTTGAAACTTCCGCCACCGCCTTGCGCGGTACTACTGGCAATACAATGGGGTTGAACCAGAAACCGTTAAGCTGCTAGCACTTTTGAACCAACGCTATCGGAACAGTCGCAATGATGTATATTGTACATGAGGTTTTACTGCAGGAGTTTTTACAGAAAGCCTTGCAAAAGGCAAAACTTTGGAAAAAGGTATAGCAAGCCTTGCAAAAGGCAAAGCCTTGCAAAAGGCAAACCGTTGGAAAAAGGTAGAGGAAAGCCTTGCAAAAGGCAAACCCTTCTTGCAAAAGGGTCAGCCTCTCACCCCTTGCAAAAGGGTTGTTGGCTTGCACAGCCCTTGCGAAAGGAACACCCTTGCAAAAGGGCAGGTCTTACCAAAAGCAGCCTACAGGTTAAGGGATCACTTAGAGCACCGGAAAGTGGATCGCTTAGAGCACCGGATCACTTAGAGCACCATGGGATCACTTAGAGCACCAAAAAAGTTGATCACTTAGAGCACCAGAGAATCATACCTTTAGGGTAACACTTGGGGACACGGGGCTGGGACATGGAGTCAGGCACAGCAACCTCATCATCTTTCTTGCTGTCCTGCAGACACAGGCACTGCACTATTCTTTCATGATCAGTTACCGGTGGGGTGGGGTGGGGTGGGGTAATAACATTCATGTTCCTGTGCACGCACAGGCACAGCAACCTCATCATCTTTCTTGCTGTCCTGCAGACACAGGCACTGCACTGCTCTTTCATGATCAGTTACCGGTGGGGTGGGGTGGGGTAATAACGTTCATGTTCCTGTGCACACACACAGGCAAGATGTTCCTGCTACGCCGCAACATCTTCGTCAAGTACCTTGCAAGATGTTCCTGATACGTCGTAACATCTTCTTCAAGTAACTTGCCAGATGTTCCTGATACGTCGTAACATCTTCTTCAAGTAACTTGCCAGATGTTCCTGATACGTTGGAACATCTTCTTCAAGTAACTTGCAAGACGTTCTTGATACGTTGAAAACTCTTCTTCAAGTAACGTGCCGGCTGTTCCTGATACGTTGTAACATCTTCGCCAAGTAACTTGCAAGATGTTCCTGATACGTTTCTTCGTCAGGTAATGCCGAAAAGCGGATCGCATCGAATGTTATCGCGTGCTTCAGCGACATATGAATGCATCCATTTATGTGTCTATATGCCTCTGCGCATATATGGAACTCTAGCGCTATGATGCGCTATGTATCTCTTATGTCACTTTTCAGCGTTCCAAGCGATCCACTTTCCGGCGCTCTAAGCGATCCACTTTTCGGCGCTCCAAGCGAACCCCCGACCTGGCTAGAGCCCTTGCAGAAGGACAATCCTTGAGAAAGGACTGCTTCCACACCCCTTGCAGAGGGTTGCAGGGAGAGACCTTGCAAAAGGTCCAGCCAAGTGCTCTTCTTCCTGAGCCTTTGTGAAAAGGCACCTCTTCAGCCATGAAAAATGCAAAGAGGCTGAGAGGGTGGAAGAAGGATATGGATCTGGGTGCAGACACAGAAGGGGAAGCCCCATCCACAAGTTCTGCACCCAGCAACTTGGCTACAAAGCTATTGTCCCTTTGGGCACATGGCAAGCTCTCTGCACTAAAAGTGCAAAAGCTCTCCAGCCTGGCCACACTTGATGGTTGCAGCCATCCTGAAGTTGCAACTCTTGGAGCAGCTGGGAATTTTGGAGAGCAGCCAGGAAATTGCCACAGGGCTTTGGTAAGGTCCTTCTGCAACCAGCTGTCAGTGCCTGAGCCTGGTTTGGTCACATGCAAATGCTTTGACCCCAAGACCAGCAAAATCATTGATGAGGAGGTGGCGATTTTCTACCCGCACCTCATGTTCAGTGCATTGGCTGAGAGTTACCCAGAATTTTTTCAAATGCTTTTCAAGCTTGATGAGCTGCCTGAATTTGGGGAAAAAACCTTGGCAAGGGATGATGGCAGGCTAAATAACCATTCAGCAACCCTTGAGAAGGGTGGGAGCAAGTCACCATCCCTCTGTTCACACATGGTGATGGAATGGAATATGAACCCAGGGACAGCTTGATGGTTTGGAGCTTTGGACCCCTCCTCTCCCAAGAACAATCCCTGGACAGCCACTTGCTCATGGCAGCTTGGCCCAAGAGTTGCACTTGCAAAGACACTTGGCCACAGCTGTGGAAAGAATTGGCTTGGTCCTTCAAAGCCCTTGCAAAAGGGCAGCACCCAACTCATGATGCAGATGGCAACCCCTTGAAAAAGGAGAGTCCTTTCTGGGCAAAGAAAGGCAAGCCACTGGCATCAGGGCTTAAGGCCATTGTGCGATGCATTGAAGGAGACCATGAATGGATTCTTCAGCAACAGCTTGGGCCTTCCCCATTGGAGGAATGCATCCCCATGCTGGAATTTCGATTGCACTCAAGCTG